ACATCAATCATCCTAGTTTACAGGGTTGTAAATTAAAAAATTAAAATTTGCTGAATAGGTAATTATTTGCACTTCTATAATGATATTATTGAATGTATTATCTCCAACAGTGCAATAAAACTTCAAAACCCGTGTTAAATCAATAAAAAAATATACTTTATTTATTTTCATTGAATTACTTTCCCCTTTATTCAAATACTACTGAACAAAAAAAAAAATTAACATCAAACTGACGTAATTAACGCGATCTCTTTGGCGTTTTGGCCAAATTCCGAACCAAGTTGGCGCGATTGAACGCAGTTTGCCGGTGCAAATGCCTATTTCGAATTATATATTTAAACAGAGTAAAACAACAACAACAACCACAATTAAACTAACAATAAACCTGACCAAATTTATTACCAATGTTTTGAGTTTATTGTTGTAATTCGACGTTTCCCTCCTCTTTCGGATTATGCAATTTTAGCCACAATTTAACATTTTATTACGATTATGACTTTTTATTTATTTATTTTTATTTATACACGCTATTTTTAGGTATTTATTTAGCGCTTTAATTAAATACAATATTTAAAAATTAATTTTTTTACATGAATTTAGTTGATTTTTTGTTTTATTGCATAATTTTTTCTTTATTTTTTTTCTTTATTTATTTATATTTTTTTTTTGTGGTGCATCTTTTTAGTGCTCGTAATTATTTTCGGTGATTATTTCAATTTTATGGAAGTGTTAAACGCACATTTCACACGCTGACAAAAACGCACAATAAAAATTGTAATAAATTTAATTTATTTTGTTATTACGCGTATTTATGCTTTTTGTTTGTTTAAATGAAAGCATTGTTACATTGCAATTAATTACGCATTTTAACTCTAAAATACAAGATTTGCGAAAAAACTGGATTACATTTTAATGACCTGTTGAAATTTTCTCTCTTCACATCTTCGTGGTCAGACTAAGCGTTGAAGCTGAGCTTCAATTTCGAAATCAACACAACAATGTAAGAGGTTCATGGAAAGAATGGAGAAGAGGCATGTTTCAGTGAAAATGTATTAGATTTCTTAAGATACAACAATATATTAACTGTCCTAAAACGGCTTAAGCTTCTAAGCATAGAATTTAGATGAGCTTGCAAAAGTGGGCGCTGCTTCCATGGATACCTCTGTTTCAATCCCTGCTCCTGCTAACAACAGCCATTTTTTGTGACAAGCAAATAACGAGTGCTTTTATACATGACCAATTTATTTCAAATATAGAGCCTCTAACTTGATACACAGAAGCAATTTAGAGGTATCTAGATTAATAACTGTCTTTTCAGGGCCATAGGACCATAGAACGGCATGGGGCTAACCTCGTCGTACCCTGCTGTATCTTTTGTAACGCGTGAATACATACGCTCGAAGAAATAATACTAGAACATCTGTTATGTCTATGTCCAGGCTTAAGTTTTTGACTTAAGTTTTTGAGGACGCACTTACTCGGCGATATCTTTAGTATTAACTTTGACCAGACTTTCGCTTTTAGAAATGCTTCTGGCTGATTCTAACTTACCTATTATTCTTTTACCTATTATTATATAGAAAATTAAGGTAATAGATGTATGTAGTGTCAAGTGATAGGCACTGATAGCATCTGAAACATGTGCATGTATGGCCAGCCCCAAAACCAATTTGTTTAAAATATTAATATAAAAATTTTCCCACTATTATCCTTTCATCTATTAAAAATAGAGACTTAATCACGTATTGACTGTCGTCATGAATATCAAGCAAATATAATGATAGTAATTTATTCTCATTTATAATGTGTATATCCAAAGAATAGCTTAAATAAAATAGTTTAATACAGTCGATTCTCTGAAATTCGAATCTTTTTGTTCGAATTTCACAAATTCGAATTTTTTTGTATGTATATATCTGTGTTATTTCTGCTCTTTTAGTAGAAATAGTTCTGAACAGTAGAATCTGCATAGAACATAATGAAATATGGAATGAAGATGTACTCGATGACGAATCTGCATATGAACGCAATAGTGATGTTGAGTCTTCAGATAGAAGCGAGTGCGATAGTTGTTTCAAACTCAACAGCCATTGAGAATGTTAATAATTTAAAGAAATGATGCAACAATTGTGAATTATTTTCCAATGAGCACATAAGAAATTTGCTGGCTCTTCGGAAAAATCTTTGCCACAGAAAGATTAGTTTTAAACTTGCCAATGGTATCGTTTGCGTCTCTAATTATTTTACTTTTTTAAATACATTCCATTTTTATTTAAAAAAATATAATATGTACATGTGATGAAATTGATGTAAATATTTATGTTTTGTTGCATATAGTTAAAAAATACAAGTATTGCACTGGATTGTTAACAGTAATAGTTTCAGTTACGTTTACTTATTTTTACTAAATAATATAAATTGAAAAAAGAAATCTATTGTATTTTATTTTAATAAGTTTTCTGCATTTTTTATTTATATTTGAATAAAAATATTAACAAAAAATAAGAATTTTTCAGATATTAGAATTACTTTAAAACAAAGTGGTTCTAATTTGCGAGAGTCGACTGTATGTAGAAGTATTTATAGAAAAGCAAGTGAGATTGTGTTTTATTCAATCAAGTGAAAGTTTTATCTATTCTTTTAATGGAAAGTTGTTTTATATCAAAGTACATATTTTAGACTTTATTTAATAATATAATTAATAATTAATTTGTACTATTGAAGTATATGCTTTTGCTAATATTTAACAATACAGTTATATCAATTATATACTAAGATTATTATTTTAAATTATATATACTGTCGCAAGTTTAACTAAAAGACCTACGGAAATAATAATTTTTCAAAAGAAAAATTTATGCAAATGTGTGCTATTTTTTAAGGGCCTAAAATTTTGAATAAAGAAAAACTTTCGTGATAAAAATAGCGAAAATACAATGGCAAAAAATGTGTAAAATATTAATTAAATTTTGCTAAAACAAAGTAAACATCATTAACTCAGTATGGCAATAGTTATGACGCCACAGCCACTGCCAATAACACTCATACGTCATAGCAGAGATAGTAACAGCTGCACTGCTTGCATCTTTCTTACGATAAAGCAACATTACTTTTATGTTATTAAAGCAAGCAAAGCAGCGCTGCAACTGTTAAAACAGCAAGAAAAACTTAAAAGCTTCTGTGGTTAACAGCAAGAGACATCATAATTCATAATGCTGTGTTAATTAATTTATGTTATGGTATTGCATAGCGCGCTGTTGTGTGCTTTGTGCTGTAATGCAGCGCTGCAACTGCGCATTCGCTGTAGGCACTTTATTAACTAATAAACAACAATAAAGCCAAGAAAAATATTAACAAAGTAAGACTAATTCAAGTAGAAATTGATTGACGGATTTTGTTTGGCGTTTGTTTATTCAGTTTGATTTGAAACGTTCGTGGCAGAGGTTGTAAAATTCGGCCGAGTTTTTAAGATACGTTTCGTTGATTTTCGTTGCATTTCATAAATAATTTTTCATTTATTTCGGGTAATAAATTTAACAGAATTACTTAACAACTCGGTTATTGTTTAACATCTTGGAACTAATTTTATTTATAATTATTATTGGCACATA